AAAACTTCTGATTTTTGTCGAGAGTATCACAGCCTCGGTTTGACCAGGTTGATTTTCATCCTGGTCTAATTGCAAGCAGCAGCTACCTCAATCGAACCTCCATAATTGTCAGATTATCTTGGACCTTGTGGTCCAGTGCACAAACATCATGAACAATAGTAGAGTCACCACGTACTCTTGGCGAAGACGAATATGCTCTTTGTGAAACGTCGACTGAGCTAGAATTCTGAACGGACGTGCAAAGATTCGATGGTCCTCAGTGTCTACCCCTTTAGCTCATATGTTCGTAGTACGTGCACGCTGTTTCAAAGAGCTAAAAGTCGATTGCGGATTGTGAGACAAAAATTCGCTGTATGCTGCTTGATTTCATTTTTTTTTATCGAATAGGTCTGATGAGTTAATTTCGAGCGCATGATGGAATATCCGTAGCCACTCATAACCCTGTTGACTGAATGACTGTTAGCAGCGCTTGCTTCTCTATTCTCTATTTCGTTGAAACTTCTCTTCGATCCATTCAAAGTGATATATAAAGAGTCATATAATGAATCATAAGCTCTAATGAAAATTTTTGTACATTTGCAATAGGTATTTAGCAAGGATCTCTGTTGAGATAAAAATTATGTTTTCAAGTTTGAAACTTCGCCTTTGATTGGTCTTTCAGTAAATTCTGCCCATTTGAGGAGTATAAAAAATGTTCGTAAAAGGTTTTGACGATATTACTTCGCAACTCATATACTGCACGCAATATTGCACACATTTTGGTGTATTTTATCCATTTTGGAAGACACTTTACACAAACAGTTGTGGAAACGATTTATACACAGTAGGGAACGATTTGTTTGTCAATTTGCCTATTTTAAATTGACTCGTTTGTGGTGCACTTATTTACTGCCAAAAGGGTTCTCAAGCTTTTGAACAGGCAGCACATTCCGAGACGGCGTCAAACAGCGTTCTGATTCGCCAGTGGTTGCAGCGGTTGTAAGAAACTGGCGCACGTTTATCACTGAAGGAACACTGAATCAAGATCGTGATTTGTCGGCTTCGCCTTGTTTTTTCTTTTCAGTGATTTCGTTTCCTGCTTTTACATTTTATTCAGAACTGCCTGCCCGAAATCACCTATAAAGCATACATTCACATGTCGTACACCTCGTCGCAAAGTCTGCTTGGTCGGCAGAGACTACGAGTGGTTCGTCGTTCGTCTTCGGACTTGTGCGTTTCGAAATTCTTCACTTTATGAATCGAGGTGTAAAGATCATTCGAAACACATGTTAATCGCCAGACCTGTCTCGTCTGCACAGCGTTGCGTTCGG